AGCAATTCTGCAAAAGTAGTGCTGAAGCCTAGTCATGTATTTACGAAAAAGAATGTATGAGCTTTTATGCAGTACCTTTCATAATCACCCGTGAACAATGAAATAAATGATTAAATGATTTGCTTATAGTCATATCATTTGGAGGATAAGAATCAACTAAAGGAACATGGGGAATTCCATTCTTGAACAGTGCTGAAGGATCTTTTACACTACTTGATTGTGGGTAGTCTAATATCTCATCCATAAGACATCACCTCAAATTGTGGTGCATTCCCTCAGCGGTCTGACAACCTGGATTATGTATTCCATATCTGGAGTGGTGCTTGAAATCACACCCTTCTGATTGAGAGGTAAGAATGCTACCAGTGACCCAAAGCTGACATTAACACAAGAAAACATTCTCTTCAATTCAGAAATTTGGTGTAACCAGTCTTGTAGAAAATAACATTTCCTATGAGATTGCAGCCAAGCATGCTCATAAAGTACCTTACTGTAAAATAGTAAGGCTTTACAAATTGTCATTTGGAGTTTGTTATATATCACTTATTGAAGGATAAACACAAAAGTAATACGATTTTGATTTTGAAACCAATGGTCATGAGGCACACCTGTTACCAATAGGAACAGAAAGGAGCAGGAGAAAAGACAGTGTGAAGCTGGAGGAGCACAGCAGGCCAGGCAGCATCAGAGGAGCAGGAAAGTAGACATTTTGGGTCAGAACCCTTTCTCAGATATGAGGAGGGCAAGGGATTCAGAATTAAATAGAGAGAGGACGGGTGGGGCTGGGGAAGGTTGGTGGGATGGTAATAGGTGAGTGCAGGAGGTGGAAGGAGTGGATAGGTGGGAGAAAAGATGGACAAGTTGTGTCAGGTTGTAACAGGTCAAGGAGGCGGGGATGAGAGGGAGGGTTGGTCATGGGATGAGGCCGGGGGTGGGGAGATTTTGAAACTGGTAAAATCCACATTTAGGCCATTGGGCTGTAGGCTCCCGAGGTGCTGCTCCTCCAGTTTGCAGGTGGCGTCATTGTGACACTGGAGGAGGCCCAGGATGGACATGTCACCCAGGGAGCAGGAGGGGGAGTTAAAATGGTTCATGACCAGATGGTGTTGTTGTTTGTCACGAACAGAGTGCAGGTGCTTTACTAAACAGTCTCCGAGTCTTCACTTGGTCTCACCAATGTAGAAGAGGTCACATTGGGAGCAACGGATGCAATAGACCACATTGCTGGATGTGCAGTTGAACCTCTGTCTGACGTGAAAGGTTTGTTTGGTGCCTTGAATGGAGGTGAGGGGGGAGGTGTGGGGGCAGGTGTAGCACTTCCTGCAGTTGCAGGGAAAGGTGTCAGGGGTGGTGGGGCTAGTGGGGAGTGTGGAGTGGGCGAGGGAGTCACGAAGAGCATGGTCCCTTAGAAAGGCAGGTAGGGGTGGGGAGGGAAATATCTCTTTGGTTGTAGGGTTGGATTGTAGGTGGTGGAAGTGGCGGAGAATGATGCATTGGATATGGAGATTGGTGGGGTAATATGTGAGGCAAGGGCGATTCTGTATTTGTTTTTGTTGGGGAGAGGGGATATGAGGTCAGAGGAGCAGGAAACGCAAGAGATGCAGTTGAGGGAATTTTCAACCACCAAAGAAGGGAAGTTGCGGTCCTTGAAACAGGAGGACATCCGGGATGTGTGGGAGTGGAACACTCCATCTTGGGAGCAGACGCATTGGAGAGGGAGGAATTGGGAGTAAGGGATCACATTCTTGCAGGAACGTGGATGAGAGGAAGTATAGTCTAGGTAGCTATGGGAGTTGGTGGGCTTGAAATAGATGTCATTTTCAAGGTGGTCTCCAGAGATGGAGACAGAGAGGTCCAGGAAGGAGAGAGAGGTATCAGAGATGGTCCAGGTGAACTTAAGGTTGGAGTGGAAGGTGTTAGTGAAGTGGATGAACTGTTCAAGGTCCTCGTGGGAGCACGAGGCAGCGCCGATACAGTCATTGAGTAGCGGAGGAAGAGGTCGGGGATAAGGCCAGTGTAACAGCGGAAGAGGGATTGTTTCACGTATCCTACAAAGAGGCAGGCATTGCTTGGGTCCATACGGGTTCCCATGGCCACCCCCTTTGTCTGTAGGAAGTAGGAGGAGTTAAAGGAGAAGTTGTTAAGGGTAAGGACGAGTTCAGCTAAGCAGACAAGGGTGTTGGCGGAGGGGGACTGGTTGGGCCTACAGGACAGGAAGAAGCGGAAGGTCTTTAGGCCATCTGCATGGGGAATGCAAGTACATAGGTACTGGATGTCCACGGTGAAGACGAGGTGTTGGGACCAGGGAATCGGAAATTTTGGAGGAGGTGGAGGGCATGGGTGGTGTCCTGGACATAGGTGGGGAGTTCCTGGACCAAGGGGGAGAAAACAGAGTTATGGTAAGCGGCGATAAGTTCAGTGCAGCAGGAGCAGGCAGAGACAATGGGTCGACCAGGGCAGTCAAGTTTGTGGATTTTGGGAAGGAGATAGAAAAGGGTGGTGCGGGTTTGGGGAGCGATAAGGCTGGAGGCTGTGGGTGAGAGGTCACCTGAGGTGATGGGGTTGTGAATGGTTTGAGAGATGATGGTTTGGTGGTCAGGGCTGTGGTCATGATTGAGGGGGCGGTAGGAGGAGATGTCAAAGAGTTCGAGCCTGAATCTGCCACCGACATCTATTTCAAGCCCACCAACTCACAAACTACCTAGACTACACCTCCTTTCACCTGCCTTCCTGCAAGAATGTGATCCCTTACTCCCAATTACTCCACCTCCACTGTGTCTGATCCCAAGATGGGGTGTTCCACTCCCACACATCCCAGATGTCCTCCTATTTCAAGGACTGCAACTTTCTTCCTTCGGTGGTTGAAAATTCCCTCAACCACATCTCTTGCGTTTCCTGTACCTGTGCCCTCACATCCCCTCCCCCCAACAAAAACAAAGACAGAATACCCCCCATCCTCACATATCAGCCCACTAACCTCCGTATCCAACGTATCATTCTCTGCCACTTCCGCCACCTGCAATCTGACCCCACTACAAACATATATTTCCCTCCCCACCCCTATCTGCTTATCGTAGGGAATGCTCTCTCCGCAACTCCCTTGTCCATTCCACACTCCCCAGTAGCCCCACCACACCCGGCACCTTTCCCTGCAACCACAGGAAGTGCCACACCTGGCTCTACACCTCCCCCCTCACCTCCAAGGCACCGAACAAATCTTCCACATTAAACAGGAGTTCACCTGCACATCTGTCAACTCGGTCTACTGCATCCACTGCTCCCAATGTGGCCTCCCCTACATCAGTGAGATCAAGCGTAGACTTGGAGACTGTTTTGTAAAGCACCTGCACTCTGTTCCCGATAAACAACAACTCCTTCTGGTCACGAACCATTTTAACTCCCACTCCCACTCCCTGGGTGACATGTCCATCCTGGGTCTCCCCCAGTGTCACAACAAAACCACCACCACCACTACCACCACCACCACCACCACCACCACCACCCGAAAACTGGGGGAGCAGCACCTCATATTCCACCTTTGTTGGGAGCCTACAACCCAATGGTCTCAATGTGGACTTTATCAGTTTCAAAATCTCCCCAACCCTGGCCTCATCCCATGACCAAACCTCCCTCTCATCCCCGCCTCCTTGACCTGACACAACCTGTCCATCTTCCCTCCCACCTATCCACCCCGCCCACCTCACTGACCATTCCCCACCACTCCCTACCTGCACTCATCTATCACCATCCCACCTACATTCCTTAGGCCCAGCCCTCCTCTGTCTATTTATTTCAGAGCTCCCTTTCCCCTCCCTCATTTCTGAAGAAGGGTCCCAACCTGAAATGTCAACTTTCCTGCTCCTCTGATGCTGCCTGGCCTGTTGTATTCCTCCAGCTCCACACTGTGTTACCTATGATTCCAGCTTCTGCAGATCTTATTATCTCACAGAAAGGAGCATGACTGATTATGATTTTTTTTGACAGACTCCAATCTCATTCTTTATAAAAACTATTTGCAAATATAAATCCTGAAGATAGCTTCCTTTCAAGCTGAGTTTAAGGTGATTAGTCCATCACTTAGCCTGTAGAGGGACAATCCTCTATAATGCCTAGCATTATTTGTGTCTCTGTACAAATGCATAAGGGGTTTGCACTGAGGGCCTAGTGTTGGAGATATGCAGTGACTCTGGCTTATTGTGTACCTGTTTTCCAAGGACCACTCCTATTGTGGTAATTGAAAGCTTGCCATTTGACAGGTAATGTCTTTTGCAAGGAATGAATTACAGTAGTGAGTTAATTCCCATGTTTCCCATGCCTTTATACAAAAACTGCCTGCCTATGGATCTTTCTCAGGAAGGTTGTGCCATTATCAGGTGCTGAGATGGAAGGCAGGCAGTAGGTTGGTCACCATGGATTGATAAGGGAGGTATTGCACAGGTTGTTTCAACCAAGACAGGAAGTCAGTGGGGGTGTTTTGTTCAGAGAGTTCCACTTATGATGTCCATTTTTCAACACAACTGCATTTCAGCAAGAGCCCATCCTTAAACCAATGTGACTTACTCTGAGAGACAAGGTCTGCCCTACAACTAGTTTGATTGATTTTGATAAGATGCAGGCAAGCTCTCCAATTGATTTGATTGTTTCATATTGATAATCTCCAATGCCGGTCAAATAAACATGATTTCCTTGTGAAATGCTAACAACCTGAAACATGGCTGAAACACTGTCAATTTAGAAAGTGAACAATTGGCAATAATGTTGAATACTGCAAGAAAATGACTAATTCCAAAATCAATACTTCTAACAAATCTATTAAGCAGAAGAAAAGCCTTTCTCTCATTAAAATTGAGAATCTTTGTTGCTCTTGTCTAAGGTATGCAATTTTCTATCAGATAATATGAAAAATCTAATTATGAACAGGTTGTTTGTGATTCATTGTGACAAATAACATAGGTCAGTCAACTCCTACCATTTTGATAGTTAACTTGTGAGAAGTGCCTTTTCTTCTTGCTCAGCTAATGTGAAACACATTATACCATTGTACACTGGATGATCTGTTGCTTATTCCTGTGGAAAAATATTAAGAATGTATCAGAACAGCTTGGGACAGTGTGAATCTTGGAGTCTGATGTCGAGGAGATGGAGGTATTAATTCTTTTTCTGAATTTGTCAGTCTCCATGAGTGTGGGAGTTGAAAATTACACAAGAGGGATAAGACACCCAATGGTGTTTGGCTCAATGAAGTCCCTCAAATGCACTCGGAGAAAAGAAAAGGCTACATCATAGGAAATGGATAAGTGATTGGTTGGTGAGTATTTTTCTCATCTATCTTTTAATAATTGGAAGGTTGCATTCTTGTTTGACTTTATTAACTGATTAAAACCTTTCATTTTTGCCTAATCTGTTACAATTTTTCAATGAAGCAACATTCATGGTGGATAAAGGTGTCTGGCAGATGTGATGTACTTGGATTCCCCTAAAAATTATTTGATAAGATGCCACATCAAAGATTGTTGCATAAGGTAAGAGCACACTATGTAGGAGAAAACATATCAGCATGGATTGGCTAGCTAACAAGAAAGATGGTCATTTTGGGACTGGAGCTAGTAGAGTGCCACTGGGATCAGTGCTGGGTCCTCAATTATTTCACTCTACATCAATGACTGGGATAGAGGTGGTATAAAACTGCAGCTGCTAAATTTGCAGGTGACACTAAGATAAGTAGGAAAGTAAAGAATGGAGAGTCTGCAAGGGGATATAGACAGGTTCTGTACATGGGCAAAACATGTTGGCAGGTGGAGTATAACATGGAGCTAGCTGGGAACTTGTCCATTTTGTGGGGAGGACAGAAATGCAGTATATTTTTTAAATGAAGAGAGATTATAGATTGTTTTATATAGAGGTACTTGGATGTCCTGATACAGGAATCACAGACAGTTAGTATGCAGGTACCACAAGTGATTAGGAAGGCAAATGGAATGTTGGTGTTTATTGAAAAGCGAATGAAATATAAAATTAGGGAAGTGTCATTGTGATTCTGCAGGCCATTGGTGAGACCATATCAAGAGTACAGTGTGCAGTCTTTGTCTCTTTATTTCAAGAAGATATTGTTGCCTCACAAGCAGTTCAGAGAAGGTTCTCTCACTCATTATGACGAAAGATTGAACAGATTAGACCTATATTGAAGTTGAGAAGAAGGAGAGAGAATCTTATTGAAACATACAAGATCCTGAGGTAATTGGATAAGGGGATACGGAAGGATGTCTGGGGAGACTGAAATCAGGGGACATAGTTTAACAACGTGTGGTTTCCCTTTTAATTACAGAGGTTCTGAGAATTATTTTTCTCTTGAGGGTCAGTAGAGTGTGGAATTCTCTTCCGTGGATAGTAGTGGAGACCAGGGCTTTAAATTTATTGAAGGTTGAGTTGGATAGGTTTTCAATAGACAGAGATGTTAATGGGTGTGGGGTACTGACAGGACAGTGGAGCTGAGACCACAGCCAGATCAGACATGTTATTGAATGGTGAAGCAGGCTTCGATGGACCAAGTAACTACACCAGTTGCTATGTTCCACTAATGAGGAACAAATAGAGCAAGTAACATCCTTGTATAACTGTATTTCTCAAGGATGTTCAAAGTAAAGATAAGGCTTGAAATGACAAAAACACAAAAAATACTCTATTCAGAGATTAAGGTTTGCAATGGGGAACAGACCTCTGAAGTGTTCTAATGTAATATTTTTGTAAGTGCCCTCCAGTTCCAACTTCAGACTGGCTGATGCAGTAACTCTTTGATGTTAATTTGTAAACAAAAAAAATGAAGTTATTTTCTGGTATTCATTTCCTGTGAGTCTATTTAAGGTTAATGTTTAAAGCCACACCAGCCAGTGTGAAGACTAGGGAACTCCTCCAGTTAAGTGCAAAACTGAGATTATAAGGCAAGTTATGTAGGATCTGAGTATCACTAAATTTCAGGGAGGCAGCTGTAAAAGTAACAAGATCAATCGCTGAAGGGATTCTTAAAGGACTGGTGGGGGTAAAATGGATTCAGTACAATGCATAGTGAGACTGACTACTAAGATCAGTTTGACGTTTCAAAAACACTGAAGCAGATGCTAAACCTGTATGTGCGAGAATATGTCAACAAAGAATAATTGCACTCAGATCAGGTTCTGTACTTTGCTGTGGCCTGACACCAAATAGATAGGGATGTGCAGGCTAGGTAGATCAGCCATGGTAAATACAATGTTACAGGGATAGGGCAGGGGTGTGGATCTGGGTGCTCTGCTGTTTGGAGTGTTGGCGTGGACTTGATGGGCCAAATGACCTGTTTCCACACTGGAGGCATTCTATGTTCTATTCTAAATCATGTCAATCTGGCTTCAGCCTGAAACTAGAAAACTGAAATACAACCTCTCAAATCAGAGAAACCTCTCTCATAAACCCACACAACTGTGAAGGAGTGAATTTAAGGATGATAAATGGCTCCTTCAAAAGGAATCAATTAGTCAATCTATATTAATTGATTGTGGCTCAGCACCTTCTGTGCCAGTTATTGACAAACTACAGCAATAACTTTATTTACTTAGACCTCCTCATTATTTATTTGCATTGTGATTTGACGGCAAGAGGTTAGTATTTAGTAGATCAGCAACTAATACATTTTTGGTCTTTGGTTGGTTATTTAATATCCAAACAAGAAATTTTGATGTTTATTTTAATATCTGAATGGTAACTTCAAAGCAGTATGGGCTTACAGTCATTCCTCCGTAACCGTGAGGGTTCCATTCTTGAGAATGCCTGTGAATGATGAAATTTGCAAGTGTGGAGCTTGTTTACAAATAGGTTAAAAAATTGCCGATATGCGAGTTTTGTCCATGACTAATGAATTTTGTTACTTTTTTTTTGGTGCAGAAAGACAAATTCAGGATTTGTGATTTTACAGATAGAGGATTTACTGTATTTCTTGAATTCATGTGAAATCACAAGTTTAGAACTGATTAACTCATATTAATGATTATTGGTGAGAATTTACTTATTTAATAAGTTATCACTACACAGCCACAAATTCTTTTTTAGTGATAGCTAACAAGTATTCATCTCTTTGTAGCTGTGCATTGATAAAATACAATTTTTAATGTATTACATGTCATTGTTTAAGGTCTGAATTGTAACCATAGGATATTATTGAAAGGACACTTGCTGAATTGACAAATGCACTAACCCATTTGAAATAAAACAGCAGAAAGATGAATTACAGCCAAACAAGATATCCCACATGGTATTTTCAGGATCTAATCTTTATCAGTTGATCTACTGATTCAATGGAAATTGGAATATGAGGGCTACTGGCCTGAAATGGGATGTGATATTGCAACGTTGTTACATAGCTGAGCCAAAACACGGTAAAAACTATGATCTTGAGGTAAAGTTTGAACACTTGAGGTGAAAAACATAAAGCAACTGAGATGGTTTCGTGCAAAGTGTCAACAGCACAACGTCCACTCAGTCATGTCATATTCTCAAGGAAGATGTCCATTTTAACAGTATTAATTTCACAGAAGCTGTGATCTCCAAATGCATTTACAGGGCACACTGTGTTAAAACAAAATGCCAAAAAATATACTTGCATTTTGCAAAGAGGTTGGGGCATAAATACCAAACAGTGGATTTTCGTGGTCTGTTTTGCAGCAGAATCCAATCCTGTTAAGTGCATGGACCTCAAAGACAGTGCTTCCCAAACAATGGGTTGTGACATCCAATGGGGTTACCAGATGAGACTTTAGGGTTGCAAGTTCTAAAGCTGCCATGGAGCTTGGACCAATTCCTGAGAACAGTGAGGCCTTTTTTTTTTTTTTTAAAAAAAAAACTTGTTTGTTTCTACAAGAGATAATGGCCTAAATGATTGTTCACTAAGGCCTAACCTTGGCTGTGCGAGAGCCTGTGTGGAAACATAGGTGTTTACTCTGCCTGCCTTTTTATCAAATGCTCCATGACTGAGATGGGGAAGGGCGGGGCTGTGAATGGAGGGAGTAATAGAGAGGGAGGATCTGATGGGATTGGTGAAGAGACAGGGAGATCCCTTAATATTCTACTTCCTATCAGCAAGGAAGGGCTGAGATCCTTCTGAGGACAATGAAAAAACATGCAGAGCTGATCCGGAGAGTACTTGAGGTGCAGCTTGAGGTATGAATCAACATCAGAATTAACATACACAAATGCACATCATACCAACAGAAACGTCAAGTGTCTATTGATGACTTTGTCATCCATTGCTACAGGAAAAGGGCACAAGTGTGATTTCTCTGAAGAAATATTTGCAGATAGCTAATTGAGTTTGTAATTGCCTATACTCCAATCAAAGACTTCTGGAAACATCAGCTGGACAAGGGAAAGTATTATACCAATGACCCTTTGCAAGAAGATGGATGCCATAATGAAGCCACAGTGGCAGGCCAACATCAATTATAAGCTTTTGCTGTGGATAACACTGTTATTGTGGTCAGCAAAGTGCATCAAACCACTAAGATTGGTCACAGATGAGATTTATCACAGCAACCCAGAGGTTCTCCAAAACTTCCTCACATCTGCAAAGCATGTGGCATCAAAGGACAAATATACAGATATGTTCCATGATATCATTGCAGGAGTTCCTTGGGGGTGTGTCCTAGGACCAACCATCTTCAGCTGCTTCATAACTGATCTTCCTTCCATCATAAGGTCAGAAGTGGGGATGTTCACTGATGTTTGCACAATGTTCAGCACCATTTGTGACTCCTCAGATATTGAAGCAGTCCATGTTCAAATGCAATAATATCTAGACAATGTCCAGGCTTGGGCTGATTAGTTGCGAGTAATGTTTGCCTGGCATTTGTATGATGCAATGACCATCACTAATAACAGACAACCTAACCACCACTCCTTAACATTCAATGGTGTCACTATCACTGAATCTTCCACTATTGACACACTTGGGGTTACCATTGACCAGAAATTCAACTGGATTTGCCACATAAACACTGGCTACAAGAACCAGTCAGAGGCTAGCAATACTGTCGCAAGTTACTCACCGCTCACTCCCCAAAGCCTGTCCACCATTTACAATGCACAGTCACAAGTGTGATGGAATACTCCCCACTTGCCTGATGAGTGCACCCCCAAAAACACTCAAGAAGCTTGATATCATCCAGGACAAAGCAGCACATTTGATGGTACTACATTCACCAGCATTGACTCCCTTCAGCACCAATGCTCAGTAGCAGCAGTGTGTACTATTTATAAGATACACTGCAGAAATTCACCAATGATGCTTAGACAGCAACTACCAACCCATGGCCACTTCTATTTAGGAGGGCAAAGGCAGCAGAAACATGTGATCACTACCATCTGCAAGTTCCCCTCCAGGCCATTTACCACCCTGACTTGGAAATATATTTCCGTTCCTTCACAGTTGCTTGGTCAAAATCCTGGAGCATTGTGGGTCAACCTACAGCATGTGGGCCACAGTGGTTCAAGAAGGCAGCTCTCCTTCTCAAGGGCAACTAGGGATGGGCAATAAATGCTGGCCCAGCCAGCAGCACCCACATCCCACGGGTGAATAAAAAAAATCAAATCTGGTTTCAAAAGCCAAGTCAGTTCCCAGAGGAAGATCCAGGTAACTGAGAAGGTGTTACAACACTACAATGCTGGCTGCATGGAGAATAGTCCAACTGTACACAAACATATCAAAAAAGTGAACAGCCAAAAGCTGAAAAACATCCTTTGGAAGATGACTAAGTCTTTCATATTTTCACCACATCAGCAGTATAAAGTGAAGAGATTTTATGGCCATTAACATTATATAGCAGGTAAACACATACTGAAAGCCAAAACTGGTACAGGAGCTAGTGCCAACATATTACTTGCAACTATCCTAGAAGACATGATCCCCAACAAGTGACATTCCACGCTACAACCTACAAAAAATTGTCACACCGCTTACAACAAATCACCAATTTCATGCAGTGCCAATATATATTGCACCGTTCTGAAGAAAAGTCGCTGGACCCAAAATATTAACTATGTTTTCTATCCACACATGTTGCCAGACCTGCTGCGTTTTCTAGCAATTTCTGTTTTTGTTTCTGATTTCCAGCATCTGAACATCTTCGGTTTATCTGTGCCAATGTACAAGTTCAGCTTCAATTCCTGCAATCTCCTATCTGGCAGATGCCAATGGTCCAGCAGTGGCAGGACTATCATAGAATCCCTACAGTGTAGAAACAGGCCATTTGGTCCATCCAGTCCACACTGACCCTCTGAAGAGCATCTCTCCTGGACCCACCCCATCGCTGTACCCCTGCACTTCATGTGGCTAATCCACCTAACCTGCACATATTTAGACTGTAAGAGGGAACCAGAGCACCCGGAGGAAATCTACACAGATACTGGGAGAATGTGCAAACTCTACACAAACAGTCACCCAAGGCTGGAATCAAACCCAGGTTCCTAGCGCTGTGAGGCAGTAGTGCTAACCACTGAGCCACCGTGCTGTCACCGTACCAGTCTACACAGATCTCAGCATCACAACCATTTATGAGATTCAAGACCCACAATGGTGAGATCGGGTCAGTCAATGATCTCAAGTGGCTGTACCAAGGTAATTTAGATACGGTTGCTAATTTTAAGGGTCACATGGCATTATATTTCAAAGACAATGCAACCACATTTATTGATTCTCCAAGGAAGTGCAGTGTGCACTTTTAGCAGAAGCTACGAGTGGAATTGAGTGAGATGGACAAAAGTGATATATTTGGAAGGTTGACGACCGCATGAATTGGTGTAGCTCCAGTGCTTTTTAAAGAGGAACAATTGGGGTTTGCCTTGATGCAAGGCACATCAACCTCTAAATGAAAAAGTATTGGCAAAAAATACAGACGCCGGAAAAATTATATCCATAATTCTGTGGCACTAGGTTCTTTTTTGAAACTACATGCTAAGCATGGCTATTGTTCTGTCCATCTAGCAGAAGAATCCCCCAAGTAATTATGATTTTGTGGATGCTACTTGGATGATACAGTTTCTGATTATTACCAGTTGAGTTATTAGTAAACCTATATCTATTCCAGCAGCAAATGGAAGGCATTATTGAAAATCTACTTGGCTATGTTTGTACAGCTGACAATATTGGGTCAGAGAACGGATACAGCTCAGTGAGGTTCCCTGACGTGCTCAGTGAGGTTCCCTGATACTCACTTTGGACTGTCCCCCTCCTGGACAGGGCTGGGTCAAGGGTCAGGAAATTGGTAGGTTGCTGTGCCCAAGTTGGCGCTGGCACGGCATGTACGTTCGGGCTCATCCGAGTCTGCTGGCTTCAGGCTGGAGGCATTGTTTTCTCCATGTAATTTTTGTCTTTTTTCTCCTTTTTTAATCTTTGAGGCTGGAGCGGTGTTGGCTGGGCAGTGGTTGCAGTGTCGGTGGCATGAACTGGGATTCTTGTGGTGGTGGTGGTGTCTGGAGCCTGGACACCTGTTGGCAGTAGGCCTGGAGCTTGGACTCCTGGTGGTGGTAAACCCGGAGCCTGGTCTTTTGGCGGCAGCAGTGCCCAGAGTGGGTACCCCAGGCAGCGGCAGAGCCTGGATTCTTGGTGGTTGCAGTGGCTGGAGTGGGGACTCTTGGGAGACTGGTGTTGTTGCTGCTGTTCCATGAGCAGGACTCCTTGAGAACTGGAACACCTTGCAGAAGCACTGAAGCTGTGCCTGAAACCCCAATTTGAACTAAAGATGAATTCTTATTTCTTACTTAAATGGTGCTGGATTGTGGTGACAAAACAATTTTTACTGTAACTTTAAGACATATGCGACAATAAATAAATCATTCATTTCTATTGTGATCAAAAAAAATTTTTGGGCCTTTCTATATCTTACACTTGGTGATGGCTGCAGAACAACAACAAGAATTGACATTTTCAAATTGAACAGCTCAACATTTTCTGGTTTGTTTAGAGTGCCTATGGAGTCAATTCCACACAATAAGGAGCATCTGTGATGTTGCCTCAGATTTTTCAAATTCCTCTTATGACGAATACCCAGCTACGTAGAATGGTGTTTTCATTAAGAGATTTACTCAAGAAGGATGTCCCTTACATGCGGCAAGTTGATGACCAATGTATATTTTCAACTCTGTTGACAACAGCTTGTCTATTGTAATATCATATACCAGGGAAAGACACAATTCTGGAGTTTAGATGCATTGCAAAGAGTCCTAGATGTTTGTGTTTTGCAAGACATGAAAACTACGGCTTTTGGTTGTCATCTGGCTTGTCATCTGCATAAGCTAACACTTCTAATATAGAGTGCAAGACATTTAGCTCTGGTTTTTGGAATCATGTGATTTCACACGTACTTATTCAGCAATAATTTCACCATTTAAATGAACTATCATTCACCAGAAATTATCTAGGGTAAACCAACTCCAAGTGCAGCACCATGTTTACAACATTCACTTGTCAAGGTGCAAAGATAGGACTTTGAAATAAGATATGAGCCAGGTACCAGGGTGATTAATTCTGTTATACTGAGCAGAGTACCCAACACACACAAAGACCAAGATGTTCCTCTCGCTCCAGACATGATCTCAACAATGAGATTGAACACACTGTCAAGGTTGATCTGTTATACTTTGGCCCGAGCTAGTGTGAACAGCTGCAAGTTATCAGACTTTTGAAAGGACATCTCGAATGTTAATTCTGATCTCTCTCTCTGCACCTTCCCAGTGGCTGTAACGTTGTATTCTACACACTGTTCCACTATCCTGATGCACTTTGTATAGAACAATCTGCCAGTATAGCATGCAAAACAACACTTTTCACTGCATCTTGGAACATGTGACAATAATAAGTCAAACTCAATTGGCAACTGTCAAAGTTCAATAACTACAAGAACCGCAAAAGATTATTCTTGAAGAGAAACCAGATAGCATTAAGGAGGTTCCTAAGAACGTCGATTAATCCATTTTGGCCATATAGAGATGAATCTGGTGTATCACAGAAAATAATTTACAAGGGCAAACTCATTACTGCACGTAAGGTATGCCAATGTATCAACCCCAGCAGCAGAGTAAGCAGCTACATCCACACAATGTTCCTTCCACTTTTTGGATAAAAATAACATTCGATTTATTCATGGTGTAGGGAGAATTACATCCTTGTGACAGATTACTTCTCCAAATTAAACAAAGCAGATGATATGTGACAATGGATTGCAATTCACTGGCAAACCATTTCAAGTTGTGTGCTAAGTTGGGAGTGATCCATATTATATTGTCACTCAACTATCTATACTCAGACTGTCTAACAGAACATAATGTGTGTGTCATCAAATCCATGCTCATTAAGCATTGAGCTAGATTTTCGTATTGCAATGCCCATTTTCCTGCAACATTTCTAATGGAGAAGGGACTATCACCTCCAATAGAACTTGAGGGCAATGTTGCCTAGATATACTATATAGCCATTTTGAGACACAAGACATTCTTCTTAATAAACAAAAGAGAATAAAAGAGATACATGATCACTGAGCACATAAATAACTACCATAGCAATGCATGTCAGAAATTCAGATACATGGAAACCAGTAAGGGTTTCAAAGACACACAATCAGCCAGGTTGTACAAAATCCGTTTCGATCGTGATGCTACTGGGAAAGAAACAGAAACCAGCGAGTAAGAGAGCAAACTTTGACAATGATCATTGTGTGATGATGCTGAGCAAAACAATCAGCAGCAAGACAACCAAGCTGTCAGCTAAGTGTAACCTAGATTAACACGTACTTCTCAGATGAGTATACAATCACCAGATCAGGATGAGTTGTGATACCTCCAAAATGTTGTATCAACGTTAATTTTATCAATAACAACTATTAACTATTTATTAGTGAATTATTAATTTTGTTAACTATTTTTCCACATGATTGTATAACTGTAGCATTGACAATGCACGCCTGTGTTAAGTGATGTATGTCTGAGGGGGATTTCTTTTCTTTGGTAAAAGGGAGATGTGTTACGTCTTGCAAAAGATAAGTGTTATACCTTTAAGGGATACACTCATGATGTCATAATTATATCGTGGCATGCAACATACTGTTACAAAGTTCTCGGTTTCCACCTTACTGAGTTCTGTCGTCCGTAGCATGATAAGCTGAGGGAAGTATGTTGCAGTAGATCTGAATTGCTCAGCTTGAGCCTAAATACACAAGTATCTGTGATTGCCATTTATATATAACCTGACGCTTTAATAAAAGTTCATTGAATTCTTCAGTACTATGTTTCCTATCTCATATTTACATTACAGGAGCTAATGAAAATATCATTTGCATAGAGTCATGGAGACATATAACATGGAAACAGACCCTTCAGTCCATGCTGAACATAATCCCAATCTAAACTAGTCCCACCTGCCTGTTCCTGGCCTATTTCTTTCCAGATATTTCCTATTCATGTATTTGTAACTGTGCCTACATTCACCACTTCCCCTGGAAGTTTATTCCACACAAAAGAAATTTGTTTAAAAAAATTGCCCCTTATTGCCTTTTTTTAAAATCTTTCACCTCTCACCTTAAAAATATGCCCCCCAATCTTGAAATCCCCTATCGTAGGTAAAATACACCTACTATTAACCCTATCTATACCCCTCATGATTTGACAAACCTCTGTAAGATCATCTCAACCTCCAATGCTCCAGTGAAAAAAGTCCCAGCCTATACAGCCTTTTTTTATGAATCAAACCTTCCATACCTGGCAACATCCTGGTAAATCTCTCTAGCTCAATAATATCCTTCCTATAACAGGGAGACCAGAACTGGACACAGTACCCCAGAATAGGCCACACCAATGTCCTGTACAACATCAGCATTATAGGTGAAGATTGTCAGCTACCATTCCTTACATCATGCCAGGGAGAGGCAGATGTTGGATGATGAATGGTGAAAGAGATACAGATGGCAAAGTGTGATGGCGAAGGCAGGTAGTGAGGTAGAGGGAGATGAGGGGCTGATGAATGAAGGGGGAGATGGGTTTAGTGAAAGGAGGGGGAGGAACAGTGAACTGCCTACATTTTAAAAGTACCACAAAATCGCACTTGAATCATTTTGAAACTACTCGTCAATAAATTGAGTCTTGCACAAGGCTTGCAGCTTATCTGCAGTTCTGTTGGCCTGCTTTCAAAACATTCAGCCTTTCTAGCAACTAAAAACCCTAACATTTCCACCCTTCCTGGTCCCTGTTCTCCAGGGTTAATTGATAGTTGTAACTGACAACACCAGTTATACAAATAGGCTATGTTCAGCAGCATAACTGCTAAAATGATGAAGCATCATCAGGATAAAATATTGCACAATATTTTAGAACCTAAGTGAGAATTCACACTGCATGTAGAATAATAATCCCGCACCATTAGAACTTGAGAAACCATAACCAATGCATTGCATTCAGTAAAATTATGTAGATAATATTAAAAATGACCATATTAGGTGATTTGAATAATGATGTTGCTACATATCATAAAATAAAGTGTCTCTGTTTTTCTCCGTTGAAAAGAATAGTGGGAATGTTCTCAATGTGTATTGTACAAATCCATAAGAAGCAATTGGTATCATGCTCCACTAATTGACTGCAATTCATCGAATCATTGGAAAATTAGGTAAGTAGATTGCACAATGTCTTGAAAATAGAAAGCAGAAGGTTGTGATCAATAAAATAAGCTGCAAATGGGAGAATAGATAGCAGTATTCTGTAGAGGTCTGGTATCAACTGCCTATTGTTCACAAAATTCGTTAATGATTTGGAAGATGATTCCCCTCTATGAGGGCTAGGTGCCAAATGTAAGGGAGATAAACAGTGTTCAAAAAGATCTGCACCTATTAAGCAGATGAGGCAATTTGAAAATTGATCTGCAGCTGGCAACACTTGATTTACATTGCCTGTCTAGAATCGCAGTCTTGCAGCTGGAAGCAACCAATAACCATTTTATATGTTTCACCAGATCTCAGCTACTGGCTAATACATTTTGAATGTACAGGCACTTGGGCAGTGAGTATCACTGGAGGAAGAAAAGCCTTTGTTTCAGTTCATAAAGTGCCTGTACATTCAATGTTTACCCTTTAATCCAGCCTGCCAATGAACAAGCCCAAGCAATGATAGATTCCTTTTCTAAAATAGTCTCACACATCTATTCCAGAGTCAAGAGTCATTCTGGATTAAAGCCTGAATTGATTTGCTTATTTGCAAAACAACAGTGTGCAGTAAAGTACAAATGTCAGTATAATAATGGAATAGTTACAGCATAGAAAGAGGCCATTCAGCCCACTGAGTCCAGGCTAGTTTCCTACAAATTTTGTTTACTTTTCATATCAGCTCTGTCGGCATCTTTTATCACTCTGAGAGCAATTTATTGTATCTAGCTTTTAACTCAGAAGTAAAATCCCCTCCCATACCCAATATCCAAGTCACGCATCATCCTAGCTTGTAATTGTTGCATGAGGTAATTGTTCTGAACAAGTTAATGCTGAAGGTACAGGATTTCCCACTTAATCTAATGTCACATAGTCTTTGTATGGTGAATTATGCCTATCTAGTCAATTTAACTTGCATCCTTGCTATCATGTAATAAACTGCCTCTTGTCTGTAAGACAAGTGCCTCTTGTGGTCTATCCTTTACCACTGATAATTGGACAGGCCCTTATGTTCAGTGAAGAGCCGGGTTCAAGAATAAAGAAGAATAAAAAAAAGAAAAAAACTTGTGTTCAATTCCCACCTGCTCCAGAGGTGTATAATAACATCCTTAAACTGGTTGATTAGGACA